CTCCTGTTTTCAGCCTCATAAACTGGAGGAGGTGACCCCATCCTACCCCCTGTTAATCTCCACTGGGTTCATCACTTTGTTAATTGGTTTCATCTACATGGGGCTGTATTATCATTGCCCTTTATATCAAGCAAGGGTTGAACGGGCCATGTCACTCGACACCATCTTGCTACATTATCCCTCTCTCTAAATGTGGTTGGAGTTTGTCCACTGCAGCTTCAGTTCAGCTGCCCATCTGTTTAATGTTTAAAATATTGTTCCAATTTTTTTTCATGGAGAGGCAGGTGAAGGTGTGTCTACTGCATATATATTGCTGGCTGGAATCCCAGGAATAACTGGATCAATCTATATCTGTCTGTAGCTTGGACTGATCTATATCTTTCAGAGCTTTCAAAAGTTACTTTGCTTGAACTTATATTTACCAGAATTGCCGGCCAGGGATTCTGGAAGGTGTAGTAAAATAAATGCACGCCCATATTTCTAACTTCTCGTATCTATAAATATAAAAGCACATGGCGTAAGACTGCAAGCTCTTTTAATTCACTATTATATTGAATATCCAAAGTAAGGGGTGAGGATAGTCTACAAACAAATCTTTCCTTTGTCCTCTTCATTGCTGTATGTATGAATGTACTTGCCCAGTATTATTATCCAGGAGGTGCCTGGAGCTACTATGCTCTGCATAGAGCAACTTCATAATGATCACATTCTTTTCCTCTTTTCTGTGTGTGTATGTGCCTTCACGTCTATTGTTGACTTATGGCAACCCCATGAATTTCATAGGGTCTTCTTAGGCAGAGAATACTCAGAGGTGGCTTTGCCAGTTCTTTCCTCTGAAACATAGCCTACAGCACCTGGTATTCATTGGAGGTTTCCCATCAAGGTACTAACCAGTGCTGACCCTGCTTAGCTTCCAAGTACTCCATTCTTTTTATTCCTTCTTCTATAGTGCTTATGGAGTTGTATCACAGGCCTGGGTATTTCAGAACATGATTGTGTCTAGGAGCTTTAATTGCTTTAAGCAGCAATGAAGATTTATGCTGAAAAGCTGGCATAAAAACTTGAAAAGTTGCTTTTTATCAATAATTAGTTATAATTACAGTTGCAAGGACATTTTTTTTTAAAAAAAAGTTAGTATACAACTCTGAAAAAGCAACTCTCTGCTTTCTTTTTATTTGGAAATAGGTTAATTAGTTACTATTAAATTATTTCTTAAAATACATTGAAATAACAAAAGTTGTTGGCCTACCATATAAAACACACATAAGGACTGAGCCAATGCACCTCTTCTAAGTACAGAAGGAATGAAAACCTGATACAGCTATCCCCAAACAGTTGCAGTTGTATCTTGTATCTCTCCTGTTGCAGTCATTCTTATACCTTTAAAGTCTCTTAAGCCAAAGACCAGTGGAACAGCTGCTTCTAACCTTCCCCACTGGACCTAAATATTTTATCACATGAGACTAGTAAATTGCAATTACAACAAAATAACAGCATCTTTGGCCAGTATTTATCACACAACACCATGTCTCTCTTGTTGCTGCTTTGTACTTCAGTAATTGGTGGAGCTCACCTTTTCACTGATGGGCAAACGCCCCCAATGGCCACCAATATCACTGCTTTTTCACTACTGCTTCTGGTGCGATAGGACCTTTCTGCTGCAGTTCCAGTATTCTGGCAATAATGTGGCATGATTCTCCCCTTCTTCCTCTTGCTGTTCTCAAGCAGTCTGAGGTTGCTTTTACTTCATTTTCCTTTCTTTTTCTTTTTCTATTTTATTTTTTAAAATTTATCACTTTGCTGTAATTGCATAGTCATGGTGAAAATAAAAACTAAAATCAAATGGCATACATGCACTGGACAGGACACACAGAGGGCAGTAGACAGGGTTAGTGAGGCAATGAGGAAGATCATATATGGACCATAAATCACCAAAGCAGCATATTTGCAGAGAAGTATAATAGTGATTATTTTCACTTAGAAATTGTATAGTGCTTGAACAATGTGATTTCTGCGAGATAACAGGCTTGTGTGATAGTCCTAAGTGGCTTCCAGGACCAGCAGTGAATAGTCCTCACTCCCCTTTACTCCTCATTGATTGTCCTCTCAGAAGTGCGTGAAAAGGATATACATATGGGAAGGAATCAGAATCTGTGAGGAAAAATGGTGACCTCCCTTGCCTCTGAGAGCTATGCTGCAGCTTGCAGATAAGCTTTTTTGTTGAATCAGGGGGATCCTTGCTTGTGCTTCCATTGTTGCAAAAAGACATTAAATGCAAATAGTTCATTCATGGGCTTACTGAATACAAAGCAGTTATTCCATGGCCGGAATTACAAATGCGTAAGCTAGAGTTATGCACTCATGACTATTTTGTATTCATGATCCCTATGTAGCACCTATTTTAGGGGAGACATAGGGACTGTGAGAGTCCCCCAATTCTGATTTGCTGGGCAGAAGTGGATGTGATTGATGGGGGTCTGTTCCCCTGTTGTCCAGGAAGCATCTGACTGATTGTTCTATCCTGCCCCATCTCATATGAACAATCTCCTGCATGAGGAGAAAATGTGAAAGGGGTTGTGCTTCTGCCTGTCACACTGGAGATTACTCACAGAAGTGTGTGAGACTGTCAGTTAGCTGCTTCCAATAAATAGGAGAATAGTTCCCCATTGAACGCAGCAGCTGCTGCCTGGTAAGTGGGCATTGTGAGGATCAGAATGGGAGTCACTGCGTAGCACCATAACTGTGGTTTTTACACATTTGTAATTTCCCAACAGGATTCCAGCTCATAACTCTAGGTTGTTGTTGTACGCCTTCAAGTCATTTCTGACTTAAGGATACCCTAAGCCAACCCTAGGTAAAGTTAAAAGTATTCCCTGTTGACAAGGTTGTCCTATCATGTCCAACCTTAGGGGGCGGTGCTCATCTCTGTTACTAAGCCAAAGAACCAGCATTGTCAGAGACTACTCTGTGATCATGTGGCCAGCATGATTGCACAGAACACTATTTATCTTCCCACTGAAGTGATACCTATTTATCTACTTGCATTTGCATGCTTTCGAACTGCTAGGTTGACAGAAGCTGGGAGCTCGCCCCATCATGCAGCACCTGGTCCTCGAACTGCCAACCTGCTGATCTTGCAATCAACAGAGTCAGCATCTTAACCACTTGAGCCACTGTATCCCTATTAAAGAAAAAACTCTATTAAAGAAAAATCCTTATTAATGTTTTTTTTTTCTGGGGCTGAGCATGTGTGATTCACCCAAGGTCACCCAGTGGTTTTCCATGGCTGAGCAGGGAATCAAACCCTGGTCTCCAGAGTCATAATCCAATGCTTAAACCACTACACCATGGGGGCTCTATGAATCTGCAATTGCAATACTGGATGTCAGCCATTGTTTATTTTCCCCCAAGTATCTATTTTATTTATATATTTATTTATTGTCTCTGACTTGCAAATGTGAGAATCCAGGCTAACATAGAGGCATACTTTACAGCCATTCCATCTTCAAGAAAGCTCAGTGGGCTGTGAAGATTTAGTAGAAGAGAGGCTACATTATGTTCTGGGCTGATTTGTAATTCAAGCACCAAATGCAACTGAAAAAGTGAGACTACAGAGAATGAATCAAGACCATTCCTGTCAAACTCTGCAGTCATCATCATCATCATCATCATCATCATTACCATCATCACCACCACCACCATCTAAATCCTATTATTATTTCCAACTAAAAAAAAAGCCATCAAATAATTGGATTTACCTTTGGGTTGACTTACCATTCAACAACAGATTGGATCGGTCTAATCTAGTTGGGATGAATCGACAGGATTCCAGCCATTAATAACAGTAAAGATTATGGATTTATAGCACAAAGACAATATAAAATAATTATTAATTTTTTAAAAAGATCATAAATACTTCAAAACATTAGGGAAAGAACAGAAAGAACAGAGCCATTGACATCAGCTGGTGAAAGCATGCCAAAACATGTATTTTTTAAAAGTGCCTAAAACAAAATGCAGTCTCTACCTCTTGGACCAAGCAGGTAGATACAACTACTGAGAAGGCCTGCCTTTGCAACTGTAATGAAAATCTTGTTTCAGCTCTCTTATCAACTTTGAATGAATGGGTCTTATGTACCAAGGCAATACAATCCCTTGCTCCTGTGCAAAGCACGTCATTGTGTTGTATGGTGGCTGGCTATCCTACTCATGTACACCCAAAATGGACCAAATTGTGAATTCATATGGTGTGTCCAGAACTCACTTGAGGATCTATATATAACAATGGCAATCTGAAGGTCTAAAAGGTTATGTTTTTCTGTTTCCTGGCAGCCATTCAGTGATAGAGGAAAGGAGAGTTCCCTGCCAAAGGCAGAGGGTGAATGAATTTCTATAAATCCTCAGCTACATGTTTATTCTGGTTTACAGCATTGTTTTAGCAGTCCACTCCTTCATGATAATTAATTTTCCTGAATTAGGAGATGCTTGCCATTCAACTGTGTGCTTCATCCTGGAGTATTATTGTGACCTATACTAACTAAAGTGCACATTCAGCCAGCACTACTAATCTGTAGCTGCATTGGAGATGACAGCAGCTGCATAACAAAGGGCAGCAATAAAAAAGACAATTGTAGAAGGCAGGAAATGAAGAAGGCAGCTTCATTCAAGCAGAAATTGCAAGGGCAGGACGTGGGTGTAACCAGCCAAGCCAAATGAAATGACTCTGCAAATATAAAAACCAGGAGAGGGAGACTGGTCAGGATGTTTTTGCAGGAAAGTAAGCCACAGCCTTTTGCTCTGACATCAGATCACCTCTTAATGCTGCATTGGGCTCTCCACCCCAGTTGGAAAACGTATTTCCATCAAATACTTTAAAACAATGTCTGTTTTACAAAGGTGGCAGAGCTTTGGGCATCTCTTTTTGATCTGATAAAATGTTAAAAGTATCTGTAGTCTTCCTGTCTGTTTCCTATTTATATACAGCTATTCTACCAGTGAGAGCCAGTGTGGTGTAGTGGCTTGAGCGCTGGGCTACAACTCCGGAGACCAGGGTTTGAATCCCTGCTCATTCATGGGAACCCATAGAGTGACCTTGAGCAAATCACACTCAGCCTCAGAGGAAAGTAAAGGCAAAGCCCTCTGAACAACTCTTGCTAAGAAAACCCCATGATAGGGTTGTCTTAGGGTCACCATGAGTCAGAAACAACTTGAAGACACGCAAGAACAAGAAATTTTACCGGTACTTGCAAGTACAAACCAGATCTTGGTTGGAAAACAACTCTGCTCTGTCTGTCAGAATTAAAGTCCTGTTCCTATTTTTTAAGAAGTTGAAAAGACGAGTATGCATGCCCTCTCGCTCCAGCATGGACTTTGCCCCTTTATTCGTGTTATTTAATGAAATCTCTTGATGCTTATGAATGTGATTGCTGCTGGCCTGAACTTTCATAGCATATTAGTTTGGCACTAGAATGGCAACCTAGCACATTATCAAAACAAAAAGGAGAACAAAATGGGTTACATATTTGCAAACAAATTTCACAAGCTAATTTTTAATACAGATCCTGTTGTATTCTGATGATAAAAATGGCTTCAGTTGGAAGGAGCAATTCCCTCTCCCCTGCAGGTCCCTCCTATGAACCCTCAAAATCTGCTTCAGATTGGGAAACTTTTGGAGCAGATTTTTGTTTGCTGAGAAGACAGAGCCTGCTTGGGGGAGAAAGTCTCATTGTGTTGGGAAGTCTGCCTGCATGACGTTGGACTTAAGTGCATACAGGAAGGATGTTGTTATGTGCCTTCAAGTCAACACTGTCTTAAGACAAACCTATTACAAGGGTTTCTTGGCAAGATTGCTTCAGTGGAGGCTTGCCATCGCCTTTCGCTACAGATTAGGAGAGTGTGACTTGCCCAAAATCACCCAGTGGGTTTCCATAGCTGAGAGGGAATACAAACGCTGGCCTCCCAGAGTCCTAATCCAGTGCTCAAACTGCTATAACACACTGGGTCTCCATATATAGAGACACAAAGTTAGTTACTGTAATTTAAATAAGAATACAACAGATCTTATCATTCTGGGGAGTGTTGAGACCTGGGCCTTTTGTGCATGCTCAGTATTTGTCCAGGTTGCCTCAAATTCTTGACAAGCAATCTCATGGCCTCTACTCTCCCTTCTTATAGTTCCGTGAATTTAAACTGAACATGGATTGAACAATCCCTCAGAGAACTATCCTCTGAAAAGGAAGACACATGGCCCACCTTTTCTGTTGCCTTAAGTTGGAATAAAGGAACCTGATATAGCAACCTTGCTGAAAACAAATAACTATGGATCTCATCATTGCCTAGCTTACAGGCAGCCTGGAAACCTTATTTACTCTGCTTTAACAATCAATGATGGAAGAAAAATGCAAAAAAAAAGTAATAAATACTATTCAGATAGAGGTTTGTATACTGAACCCAAAGAGTACTCAACAAAGGCTCTTCCTTATCCTGGAGAGAAGTGACTAGTGGGGTGCCATAGCGTTCTTTCCTGGGCCCAGAATGATTCAACATCTTCACTGATGACTTGGATGGGGGAGTAGAGGGTGTGCTTATCAAATTTGCAGATGGCACTAAATTAGGAGGGGTTATTAATACCCCAGAGACCTGGGTCAGAATTCAAAATGATTTTAACAGATTGGAAAGCTGGCCAAAACTGAATTTCAAAAGGGAGAAATGGAGGATCTTACACTAGGAGAGTAAAAATGAAATGCACAGACAAAGGATAGAGGTTACCTGGCTTGATGGCAGTACATGAGAAAGGGATCTAGGAGTGTTGTGATAGTGGACCACAGGCTGAATATGA